ATGAATAAATATGAAAATCTATATAAATTAAAATCTCATAAAGCAACTAAATTTTATATTCTTCAGTTATAACATACACTATGTTATGACTCACTTTAAGTAAAAGAATATTTTTATTAAATATTATAAATGAAAAACATTTCAACTAAGAAACCAACTTAAACTATAATTTAATCAGTTAATAATTTAAAATGATAAAAATTTACACATTATTTAAAGCTTATCATGTTTCATCTTTCTAACATCTATAATAAAGTTATTTAAATTTTAATATCTTTCAACTTAAACATTTAAAAATGAAAATGTCTTTTATCTGCCAAGTCATGTGTATATCACTACAACTGTGCAATACACACATGCACATATATATACTTATACATATATATATATATATATATATATATATATATATATATATATATATATATATATATATACATACATACACACACACACACACACATATATATATATGACATGACAAAAGTGGGGAAAAAGATTAATTTCTTCCTATTCAAGATGTTCACTACTGCATGTTCGTACAAATTAATACATTAGATTTTTAGTTATATACCCAAAAGATAAGTAGCTTTTATTTCCTGGTTAGTTGCATTTTATTTTTTCCACTTCACAAAAATTACTTTTTCCCTTTAATAAAAAATGATTACATATATGCACACATCTATACATATTTCAAGTGCCTAAAGACTTTGATAACAAGGGCAAAATTAAGAAAAATTGTTCTAAAAGATGAACCTAAAAAATTATTTGTAAATATTTTTATTACAAAACTGTATATATTCTTTACTTTTTACTTAATAAATTTGTGGAAGTTTAAACAAGGTTGCATAAAAATGAAAACCTCCAAGTTCAGACATTGTTTCTATAAATGGCATTTAGCTCAAATTAAAAATTCATTATTATCATAATCATTGTTTTAATTGAAAATTTAAAATAAAATAAAATCTAAGTAAATAAGTGTCAAGGACAATAGTTCAGCAGACAATGGAAATAAATATTAAAAGGAAGAGAGTAGATTTTTGACCAATTGAAATGTCTTTGCAACTTTTCTCCTATAATATATGATAAAGAGCAGAAATCAATGATGATCTAATGTACTGGAAAATTTGGCACTTCACTAAAACAAAAATATTTATATAGAATAATGTTACTTCATAGGAATTTATAACTTTTTATTTCCTTAATAAAACTATAAGTAACAAACACTATCAATCTGAATAAAACATAAATTAAGGATTAGATCTTTCATATAATACTTTGCATTTAACTAATTCACATGAATTCTCCTATATGGCAGTAATGCAAGACAGTTTCCTTATAGAGAAAGATGAGACTTGAAGCAACAGGATATGATTCAACAGAAAGATACTGAAAATACCATGGACAGAGCACGTGAATAACAAAGAAGTTCTCAAGAGAATACAGATGAAAAGGACACTTAATCAGAAAGAAACAGCTGAAATCTCAGGAACATATAATAAGGAAAGAGGACATGGAGAATTTGAAACTCACAGAACATATTAAAGGCCTGAGGAGTGAACATCAAGTAATCTACTTAAAGAGATTGAGGTCCACCTTAAACAAATTCATACCATCAGCAATTTCTTCAACTGTTTCACCTCTAAGGCAATAGGGAATGGATGATGGGAGCAGGTTTAGTAAAACTGGAAGCTTCTAGTCATGCTTGTTGGTGGTGAATTTAGTCATCAATGCCATCATCATAAAGGAAGTGATCAGCAAAGAAGAAATTGAATTTTCAGATATGATGGCATTGACAATATATATATATATTTTATATATATATATATATTATATTATGATATATATTATATAAATATATATACATATATATTTAAATATATTTTCTTTTTATATGTTATCATTAATACAACTTATTTAAGTAAATGCTCTGTTTTAATTAAACAATATTAATTACATTTAATGGCCTGAATGTTTGAGAAATTTCGTAGAAAATATGCAATCTCTGACAGAAATCTAACTTGTATCCCATAAGGAAACCATCATATAACCTGACATGTTGTTTAACCATTCAGCCACAGAGAACTTTCTGGTGAGCAATGTCTAAATTACTTCTTATAAGCACACATCTTCTATGACCTTTCTCAATAATTCATTTCTGCTCCAAAACATAACCTGACATAAGCAATGCAATATATCTATCTTTCTATCTATCTATCTATCTATAATATATATATATATATATATATATATATGTAAACAAACATGTACAAGCACACACTCATGTATCTATATATATATATATATATATATATATATATATATATATATATATATATATATATGTGTGTGTGTGTGTGTATATGTATATATATATATACATGTATATGGGCATGTGACCAAGTGGTTAGAATGTTCGCTTTCTAACCATGAGACCTGAGTTTGAATCTAACCACAGTTGATTTGTCAGGAAGTTTCCTTCCTGACATTATTGGTTGCAGTGGGGAATGATCCCAGTGTGTGGCACTTTTGGAAAGTGCTTGGAAACCACACCCATGGGTTGACACAAGCTTCATGAGTGAAATTGGGTAGATAGAAAACGTGGAGCTCATCGATAGCTGTGCTAGCATGAAGTCACAAGACATTGTGATCAAGGGTTTGAGTGTACTCACGTTGTTCAAACTGTTGATCATGCTAGATAACACGCTCTCTCCCAGAAAATGTAGCTAAGGTCTGCTCAGCATAGTTGCAGTATAAACCACAGGTTGGCTCTGCAGGTGTTCAACAAACACAAGACGAGTATCCTCGAATACAAGTGGCCAGCAATTATAAATATAGGTGTATGTGTGTGTGTATAAGCATGAATGCATACGTGTATATATATATATATATATATATATATATATATATATATATAAACACATGCATGATATATGTTCATAGATACATTTTATTAGTTTTAAATTAGAATTTTCTGTTGCTTGCCAAAAGCCTCCATATTTATGCATATAGATTTATTATCAGTCAATTTATCTATATTTATCAGATATATATGTATATATATATATATATATATATATATATATATATATATATATATAAGTGGCCACTGATGTCAATACCAAACCATGGCAGTCTGTACATATACACATATACACATGTGTGTGGGTTTATATATATATATATATATGCAAACATGCACACACATGATATATGTTTATAGATACATTTAATTAGTTTTAATATTTCAAGAATTACATGTTGCTTGACACAGCCTGCATATTTATGCATATAGATTTATCATCAGTCAATTTATCTATATTTATCAGATCTTTGGGAAAGTATAAAAATTCTTGATTTTGAACCTTAGCTGATCACATTGAGTTCTCTACTTACTTCTTATGCATATTAAGGCATTCATTTGTCTTTTTATTTAAACTCAACAGAAAGAAGGATCCAAATCCATTCATATATAAATGTTTAATGATAGAGTAATCACTGTGAACCAATTACCAAAGTGATATTAGTTTAAAGGGATTTGAAAGTCAGCATTCATTATTGTTGAGCACAATTTTAACAACATAAGATATGCAGATGAGACTGTGTTGATGGCAGATACAGAAAGAAAACTATAGGAACTCCTAGACAAGGTAGTAAAGGAAAGTGGGAGGGGAAGGACTAATGATCAATTGTAAGAAAACAAGACAAAAAGCCCAAGATGTGAGCTATGAATTGGAGATGTCAGAATCACACAAATACAGAATTTTCAAAATTTTCAAATCATTTTAACAGATAACAGAAAATGTAACACTGAAAGATTCAAAGATGCATTGGAATAGCCAAAGTGCCTGTATAAAGCTAAATAAAATATTCTGAAACAATTAAATTTTGCTAGAAACAAGGAAAAATGTTGAACTGCTATGCAAAATCTGTCCTCTTATATGCTGAATGCTGGATAATTTTCTCACAGATGAAGAGGGGGACTTGACATATAAAGAGATGTTGTTCTATCAAAGGATGCTGTGAATATCATGGATGGAACATGTGAGCAATAAGGTTTTAATGAAAATGGAAGCAAAAAGCACACTTGTATTTAGAATCAGAAACAAATGTGGAATAAAGGCTTGGAGAATTTAACACTCACATAAAATATTGAAAGCAAGAAAGGCAGAGGAAAATAGTGAGCTTGTGTTAGTGTTAGAGCCAGAACTGTAAGGGATAGTAACCTTGCTAAGGGTTATGAAGTAGAAATGTGGAGAACAGTGAGCATGTATGTCCTGAAGGGATATGGCACATAAATGATTACTGTCTTAGTTAATAAAAGACTGAAGGGATATGGCACATAAATGATTACTGTCTTAGTTAATAAAAGACTGAAGTCCCTTCTTTCTTCAGAAGGGTTAATAAAAATAAATGAATTTTTGTCAGAATTACTAAAATGGAATATTTGTACCTGTTCAGCTCATTAGATCAAAACGTTTTAACTGCAATTAAACAAGAAAAAAATTATTTAATCACAAGTTTAAAAGGTTTTAAAGTGATTAAACTTTTTAAACTTCTAAGTAATTCAAAAAGTGAATTTTTTTTCTTAGTAACTGATAATTTCATGGAAATATACAAGCAATTGCTTCAAGTATAAAAATATGGAAATTTTAAATATTTGGCATAGGACACTCATCAAAACAGCTTTTCATTTATTTTTCTGGAATAAATAAATATCTTATATTGATAGTTTAATGAAAATCATATTTGGCATAGGACACTCATCAAAACAGCTTTTCATTTATTTTTCTGGAATAAATAAATATCTTATATTGATAGTTTAATGAAAATCATATTTGGCATTGACTTTTTTATTGGTAGGTTTTAATTTTATGATGGTGGATACACACAGTCAAATGAATGCAATAATTTATAAGAAAACAAAAACAACAGGTTTGATATATGCATATAAGGCACTTTACCTAATCCATAGATCCCAAACATACTTTAGATATAATTCAAGGGCAAAGTAAGTTCAGTCCACAGAAAATATCCAGGAATGAAAGAAGAAAGAAACAAAGAAATGAGGTGATACAGGAGAAGCTATAAACAGAAGAAATAAGCATGTATTTATAATACAAACCAAATGATGTATGAGATAAAAGAAAAAAGAACATTGAAAGCTTCCATGAAAATAAAATATAAGAAAGATTCAGATGCAAAGAAAAAGTGACAAGGAAAAAGCAAGTAGTGTTGTCCTTTATTAGATCGGAAGTGAAAGTCTTGAACACATAGCTGAGAGAGAGAGAGAGAGAGAGAGAGAGAGAGAGAGAGAGAGAGAGAGAGAGAGAGAAAGAGAGGAAGGGAGGTAAGTAAACTGAAAGAGAGACATTGAGAGAGTGTGAAGAGGAGGAGTAAAGGAAATCATTTTCAAGGCTGCTTCAAGGTTACTGGAGGAGATTGGTTATCATAGTAAAAAGTTTGAATTTGATTTATTATTTTTATTCTGTACTTTTATGTTAATTTTTCAGTATGTTTCTCTTCTAGTGACACGAGTAAAGATTTTAAAAAAATACTCTCGTTGTTATCAGTTTGTTAAAAATGTAGGCTGAAATTAAGAAGGCTTTTTTCTGACTTTTTTTAAAATAGAAATTTTTTCTGTCGTAATATGAAAGTGGGCAAAGTATTGACAGTGAGATTATGATAAAGCACTATGTAAGAGATATGGTTGCTAGCCAATAACCATAGCTAACCAACCAGATAGCAGAGTCAGTCAGGAGTTGGACAAGCAAGCGGGAGGAAGATGAATGAATCTGATTCATTTGAAGGTGAATGAATTTGTATCTAAGTGGTATGTCTGAATGAAAAACATGTTTGATGAGAGGAGGTGTGTAAATTGAAATACCATCAGTTTCACATGTAGTAGACAAGAATGAATCAATTAAATAGATAAATGGTTCCAGTTTTTAGCTTTACACTGCAAATTTACTCTAATAAAACTTTTGAATACTCCAAATTATTTTTTTGCAAAAAAAAAAAAGAAGAAATTCACTTTAATAGAGCGTTTCTCAACTGGTGCACCCAAGCACACTAATGCACCCAGAAAGGTAAGCCAGGTGTGTACCAAGTTAACAGAAGAGTAATTAATGCATTATTTTTATATTTAAAATTTTTATTTTTAAAAAGCTAGAAGCACCAAGCAATATAATGTCTTAAAAATAAATGTTTCTTTTTTATTTTCCTGTTTTTAAATTTCATGGCCTATTTTATTTTTACCTTATTAAAATTTCAAGTGAGCCCCAAAATTTTAGTTATTCTACAAGTGGGCCCTAAAATAAAAAAAAATGTTGAGAAACACTGCTTTAGTATGTAGATCAATTGTTATATAAACAGGAAAATTTTGTTAGAAACAAAGAAAAGAATGTTGAACCGTTATATACTATTAATCTTCCTATATATGGCAGTGAATGCTGAAAAATTTCATCAAAGACGAAGAGGAGACTTGAGGCAATTGAAATGTTGTTCAACAAAAAAATACTGAAAATACCATGGACAAAACATGTGAGTAATGAAGCTTGAAGGAAAATGGAAACAAAAATGGAAATGAAAAAAGACACAGAAATTTTTGGAAAACATGATGAGTAAAGTGGGCTCACAGAATTTGACACACACAGGACATACAGAAGGTGGAAGGGGAAGATGTGAAAACAGTGAATAACCTACTTAATGAGTTTGTGTAAATGAAAAGCAGAATACAGAGTGAAAAAGATAGAAAAAGGACATTGTTAAGAGCTACAAAGGATAGAAAGTTGTAAAGAGCCATGATCGCCTACATCTTGTTAAGAGTTCATAAAAAAAGATACAGATCATTGATATCATTTTAATCACAAACCTATTTTCAATTAAGTACTAATTCTTAAAGGATGGATAATTAATTTTTATGTGTAGGGTCATGTTGCACATGATTTTGGTAAACTTATTCATCAATCTTGCCTCTTCAGTTTCAATGATCCATATTTACAATGGATAATCTCTACTCTATCTTTCTCTTGTATATTGGGATTATAATGATATACATTATTCAATTTTAATAAATGATTTTTGAAACCAGGTAAAATGCATACTAATATGTATACATATTTTTTTAAATTGCTTATATTAATACAAATCTGCATTTTTCATTTCTGTCTATAACTGCAATTATTTAAATGTGTCTCTTCAGATTGGCCAATCCTGGCTCTCCACACCTTTTTTTTCTTTTCTGGTCTTGGCAATGATAATACTAATAATGATTTTTTTTGGCCTTCTGCACAGTTTTCAATTGAAATTGTTTGCCCAAACACAGCTAAAACACACAGTCTGCTTTATTTTAAGTTAGGATAATTACAATAATAATTTTAAAAACAGTACCAGGACTAGTTATTTTTGAAACATGTTAAGTAAAATTTAGATATAGTTATAGAAGGTGCCAATAAGAATACAGATTCAGCAGAATAATTAATTCAATAATACTAATTATAATGAAAATAACAATGATCAAAATTCTATCTGTAATTATGATGCAAATCTATATGTTATGTTGCAGGGCTGTAGCAATTTTTTACCAATTGTAGTAGTTTTTACAAGGTTTTATTTTAACAAAATACAATAAAGAAAAAAACTCTCAAAGCAAGGAAGTACAGGAAATTTTAAATGTTCTTGCTGCTAACCATGTTGGCAGCCTTTAAGGCAAAATTCTCAATTTTTTAGCCCCTCCCCTCCTAAACAAAACTGTTTCTGCTATGGTCCTGTTATGGTTTATGTTATGACTTTATTGTAAGAGTTAAACAAATTACAGTAATTAAAAAAAGCTAAATAATTAGTAAATAGTGAATGCAATGCAAAAACAAAAAACTGATAAAAATGTAAGTATAATGATAGTAAGTTTATTTAAATAATATACAAAAATGTAACCTGCAATATTTCATTATTTGCTCTATTGTTGACACCAATATTAAAACGATAATTAACAAGTCTAATAAGAAAACTGTTTATCTGACTAAAGAATTCACTACAAAAACTACATTTTCATATTGAGGTACTTTTATAATATCAACTGGTTTGAAAACATACAAAATAAGAATGATTCATTGAATTATTTAAGCTTTTTCTTTTTTATGGAACTGTTTTAATATAGAATGAACTCCTGATGGAATACTTCCCAGATATCTACAATCTTAATTTTTTCAATTCAAAAGTCAACATTTATCTATTCTACATATCTTGTTAATATCTTGCTCTCTCGCTATACACTTGTACATTTCAACATTCCCATTCAGTAAATCTTTACCTTGAGTGACGCTCAGGCCTTGTATTGGATGAACAAAAACAAATACCATTGTATTTGTTTCTTTCTTGAACATTGAATTTAATTAAAATGAATGTACTAAACTAAAAATAGTTTATTCATTAAGTTTACTATATATATTTATGGTTTTTTGCATATCTGTTTTATGTCTGGTTTATGACGTTGCCTAATTTTCTGAAAAAGACCCTTAGTTAATTTAATTTGCATAATAAATCTACTTCAAGGCAACAACTGATATTTTCTTTTGTAATTAATAAATTCTCATAGCAATATGTTTGGGGAACAAAAATTTGATTTTTATTTCAAGATCTGTAGAAGTACTGTTAAGAGTAAAAAATAGTTTGATATGACAGGTAAACAGGCCACCTTATCACTAAATCAAACATGGGGACATCAGTTATCACCGTAACTCTTTTCATTTTATGTGCTCTGTCTCTTCATCATGTGGTTGATCATGCTTCTTCACAACTTCCTATCTTCTGTAGCTCTTAGCAATATGCCTCACAGTCCCTGTTCTGCTATTCATTTACATAAACTCATTAGGTAGGTTAGTTGCTTCTTCCTCTGCTTCTCTTGACTTCAGTATGTCATGTGTGCATCAAATTTTCCAAACCATCTTTCCTCATTTTTTGTCCCATAAATTTTAACTGTCTCTTTCTGATGCAGAGTATAAATGTCCTTTTTGTTTCCACTTCTTTTCAGACTTCCTCATTGCTTATATATTCTCTCCATGGTATTCCCAGCATCATTCAGAAGAAACAAAACTCTCTTGCCTCCAGTGTTCTCTTTATCTTTGAGAAAATTGTCCATCATTCACTGCTTTATAACATGATTGATTTTACACTGCAATTCAGTGTACACTTTTCTTTATACCTTAGCATTCAATCGCCTATCATGAGCAGTCATTCTGTTTATCTGATCATCTTCATTAGAATAGATGATGATGTGTTAGGAGAAACTGACTCAACTATTCCAGGTCACTAGTAAAGACTTAATAATAATTCCCTCATTTTACACTAGGCATGGCACTCATGGCTTCTAATCTTAAGTGATTGTAGTGTTAACAAGTACATGTTTTCTCTTGATGAATTTAGATGTGTCCACAGGAAATAAGCTTAATCAATACAACAGATATGGTTGTCATTTTTCTGACCTTAATAACTTGGTCATATCCCCTAAATTAGTAATTTCCAAACCTTTTAGCTCATGGCTGAATTTGAACCTAGAATTTTTCTGCTGGATCTGCTCCTAGGATCAAATAAAATAGTTTGGTCTTTATTATTGTAAGGAGATATGTACATGCAAGTCATATATTCTATTACGAAACTCTACTATTAATCCACAACAACTTCAACCTAATATTTAGCTCTGTAATCATTTTTACATAATCACAACTTTTCTGGGGCTTTTTAGACAGCAGCCTCTCACTTATCAGCACATGGGTAAAATTCTTGACCACATATGTATTTGAACATGCAAGTGCATAAATTATTTCCAAGCATTTATGAAAAATTGTATGTATTTCACTGGCTAGGATTTCAATTTTATAATTACAAGCATACACACAATGAAATACACATAAAAAGTTCATGTTTTTTAGCTTATTAGTTATATCCCTTTTGGACATATTTAGTAAGTGAAATACTTATATATTTTCTTTCAGCACAAGTAAATAAATACTTTCATGACAAGTAGGTTTATATACTCATTATTGTAAAATCTCCAGTGGTGACATAAAGATCTATCTACCTACCCACATATCTATCTATCTATCTATCTATCTATCTATCTATCTATCTATCTATCTGTGTAAGTAATATTTATAAGTATGAATAGAAAAGACCCAGCATAGATATTGGCCACATTAAATAAATTCAAATTAATATTACCTCATCACAAAAGGATTTTAAAATTTACTCTGTATATCATTTAGACATTTTCCTAAATGAATTCATGAAGATTGATAAAACCAAAATGTCTTTTTAGACAAAAACTAAACTAGTAATTTATCATGTAAATCTTGTATAAAATCTGTTACTTTCTCTACCAGTGTATTTTTCATACATGTTTAAATTAAATAAAATTGATATTACAACGAGCATTTTATTTAGCTTATATTCTTTTAGCAAATATGTAATATCCTGTACAGCTGTTACATGCATTATCTCTATGCTACAAAAATAAAAACACCAATGCATTAGAAACGGAGTCACCTTTTAAATGTTTGGTAATTCTTTCAGACAATACGCATGTTTGACAATATTACATGTTAAAAAAACTAGCCTTAAAAGTTTCTTTGAAAAATTATAGGCACATGTATGGTAGCACAAGAGAACAAACAAAACAACAAGTACTGATGGTGAGGTGAAAGGAAAGAAGGCTGAAATTGTTCATATAAATTTCTTTGTATTGAAGATACAGAGGATGTGAGTGGAATGTCTCTTTGTAAGCAAAGGAAGGGTATAGCTGGTAGGG